AAACGGATGACAATGGTGGGTGAGGCTGTTTATGTGTGCAAGAGCAGGTAACTAGACAAGAGGAAAGCATGTAGCAGGTAGAAAACCAGGAGTTTGCTGTACCCGAGTTTTTCTTGAGCCACAGACAGGTAAAAAAAGAACAATCTAAACTGTAGAACTTATTTTATATTAATAACCACAGTTTGTATTGACTTCAATTAAATAGACTAATAATTTATTCCATGAGAAAAAAAAAAAAAAAAAAAACGGCCAACCTGCACCTACCTCTTCAGCCTGACGGCCGGGTCAAGGTCGGGATTAAGTAAAAAATCAATTATCTAAAGCAAACTTGTCAGTTTTATCTAGGTTATATATTTTTAATGCTTGAATCTTTTTAATCTTGAAGTTTGGTTCATTCTATTCAGTTTATCTTGTGTATTCATACAGCATGTTACTTCAATTTTTCCTCTGTAAAACCAAGAATTAATTTGCTTAGTTCAACTTAGCATCAGAGAAGACAGCCAAGTAATTTACACAGGTGAAAAATCCTGACTACCAGCACCACATCTTGTCACTTCTAAAGTTAAGCTTTTAATGGCTTATAATAATATGGCACCACACTTTATAGGCTTAATAGTGGCTGCAGTATCATTCCAATACTAGGACAGAATGGGAGTATTTGGAGTATCATAATAAAACCATAACATCAACTCTAACCCTAAGTTTTATATTGTCTTTACAACGAGAATCAGGGACTGCTTTGCTGTGGTTGTTTTTGTCTGAACATGAATGAGTCAATATCACCTACTGTCAGTTCTTGTTGTTGTTATTTCTGACAATCAACTCATGACAGCTTCAAGAATCATGTTGGAAACAATAGTATTGTTTAGCAAGCAGACCAGTAAAGTCACTTTCCTGTGATATGGTGCAGACAAAACTTTACTTTTTATCTAATGTGAGTTAACCACAGATGTTACTCAAAAACAAAGGCTGGTCACATAAATCTGTCCGTAGTGAGGCTGGCAGATTTACATACTATCCCTATGCAAACCGTTCAGGGAAAAGCATTGAAGGTCGAGCAGGTAATTTCACTAGAATAAAACGGAGGTACCTTATTCCAGAAAATAACCCTTGAAGGACTGTATTTTTAAGTGATAAAAATATATGAACCATGCAGTAAATTATCATTATAGCCCTGTGAAAATAAAGAATACATGTTGATCAAAAGCAGCCAGCTGTCAGTCAGCGTTAAGATTATGTGAGGAGCATTTATCACTGCCCTTCTCTATCAAATCTCTTTGAGGTGACAGGGTAAACTCTGTTGCGATAGGCTGGCATCTATATGGATGCATTTCTGGTTGGTTCCGGCTTTGCGGGTCCAGGCCACAGTCTCCACCTTCCATGCAATGCAATCACCCCCTAGAGTTCTGGAGCTTTATTAAGGACTGGCTGAACATTTGCCTTCATGTACCTATAAATGCCTTAACTGTTATCAGCACCAGGCAATTTTTTATTTATGTAAGAATTGATACATTTCTAAGATTTGGTTGTCAGTTGTTTTTGCATTCATGTCTACTTAATGTCTACCCATTTTAGACCCATCGCTATACAATGCAAATAAACACTGACCTTTTTCAAAAGGCCTTTATCTGCTGTTCTTCCCTCTTTGAGTGAAATCACCTCTCTTTGTCACCATACTGTCATATATGGTGATATTGGTGATAAGCCCATATACACTTATTCCACATTCAATCTTTAGCATAACTGCAACTATCTTTGAAGAGGAGACTAAAGCATGGTTTTTATAAACTGTTAATACCAGTGACCCCCATTTTGTGATGCCATTCTTTATGGCTGGGGGTAACCAAACATTGAGTCTGGAATCTGAATGTGGAGCTCAGGAGAATAGAGCAAAGAGTGTGACAGCTCTGGCTGAGTGGGAGTCAGCGGAGGTGAAGGGGCACAGCTGGCTGTGGGCTTGTTGTCTGCTGAGGCGTCTGAAGGCAGTGGGCACAAATAAATAGCTACACTGCTCTGTTTTGCTCTTTAGTGAAATAAATCGGTGGCTGAATTTGATGTCCATCTGCCACAGTTCATCACAGAGAGAGGAGGAGGAATTAATAAAACACTGATCATCTTCCGCCTCTGTTCTTTGCTCCAGACTGTTTGATTTCGGTTTGACCGCAGTGATGCTCTCAGAGGCATCTAAGACGTCTGAGGCTTATGTCCAAGTCTTAAGAGGTCGCTGTCTTTTGACCAGTGCCTGTTTTAGTATTTGACCATTCTTTCCAAAAATGATAACAGAGGATTTGACTGGGTTCTTATTGCTTCACAGGCGTCAAAGATGATATTATTCAGTCTTGCACACATAAGCCTTAATTTGTTGTGAAAGATGAAGGAGGGAATTTATGCCTTAGGTTAGTACTTTAGTTCTGAGTAAGTTCCATATTACAAAAAGAAACAAAGTACATCAGAGATTAATTTTTCTAAACTCATAGAACATTCAGTGTAAACACTAACTGTATTATGACATGTTTGTTAAACAGTGACAAATAGTATACATAGCAATAATGGGACACAAATATAACAGCATTTATTTACAATTGCCAAGGCTCATACGTGAGTTTCTGTTTTTCATGGACAGTTATTACAAGTGCATTATAAATTTATCCTACTAAGTCACACATAATGTATTATTTGATCTGAATGTGCAGTTTTTTCAAAGAATGTTCAAGATTTAAATAAAACAGAATATATTAATGTGCCAAGCCTGATCAGAATAGAAGCTCTCTGACGTGTACGGTGTTAAATCACCATTGCCTCAATCAGAATTATATAATCTGCAGAGGGGTTCACATGTATGCTGTTCAGATTGTCAATCATTATATAAAATCCCTCTCCTATGGATTACAATTTAACTCCTATGAAGTTGACTCTGAGCAGAATGTTCTGAATGAGGCATTTACAAGATGCATTATAATTCTGATTGGCCATCTTTTACCCAACTGTTTGTGTCCATGTTAACATGGCTAATGTCAATTAAAACAAGGCTGATAGCAAGTATTATGTACAGCGTAAAAATGAAAAATATAATGAATGAGGCAAAGTTTGTAGTCTGTAAACATGGTGAAATATTCCTTTCAAGTCTGATCAATCGCTGTAATGTTGTTTTTAATGCTTGCCTTAATCCAAATTAGTCCTAATTCCAAAAGAACAACTTTTTTTTTGTTTTCAAATATAAAATGATGAATAAAACCCAAATTGAATATATAAATTAGCTGTCATCAATCCATATAGAGCCATTTAGTTCAAGAATAAATTAATCTTTCTTTTGTCGACAAGCTGTTGCTAATTTGGAGCAAATATCTGTGTTATTAGCAACATTATTGGGATTCATTACATAGAAATATTTTGAAACTAGATATGTTATTACAAACACAAATTGCATTTAAAAAAAAAACAAATTCAAATGGTTATGTAATCAAATATCATAAACCAGCCCAAATGGAAGTCTTTATTCTGGGTCTCTAACAACAAAAAAAGACACATGAAAAGCTTCTGCTTTTATTACTTCATAGAATATGAGCCACAGGCAAATAAGGTGTATTAGTGCTAAACCACTCACTATTCTATAGCTAAAGGTCATAGCAGCAAATACTGTAAATTACAACATATTACAGAACTTACCAGAAGTTGTGTCAACATCTTAGCTTTCTGACTAAAAACAAAGTTGAAACAAAGTTATAGGACTGCTTTTATACAAGAACATTGACATGGTGTCATGGGTCTAAAAGAATATGCCCTGAATCAAACTAGTTGGTTAGAGAACCACCAAAACAAACAAATAAATAAACTTCGGATAACTTGAGGGAAACGGGAACAGTGGCTCACTGACTGAGTTTATCTTAATCTCTAAAACCCTCTGATGTTCCTTTCAAATGAAAGTTAGAGGCCATGCCGGACAGCTTTTTTGTTGTTCAGTTTGTTTGGAGTTCTTTTACTAAATTTCCATGGATCATTGTAACTGGTTAAGAAATGCAAGTATAAATGTGCTCCAATCCACTAAAGTGAATGCAAAACAAAAAAGAAAAAACAATATATGAAATAACTATGCAATAATAATTATTGCATATGCATGTGTAGGAATTATTGAATGCTGTTTTAACTTCAGTGTGCTACAAAGACACTTTTGGTGTTTTTGCACATGTCAAACGTACTGAGGAAAAATAATTTAAAGAATAAAAGATTGCATCCTGAGACTTTCTTAAAACCATTACAAAGAGAGAAAAGACCACCAGGCAGAGGGGATTAATCTTAGCTGGAATGTGGTAGTAGCAGACTAGAGTGAGGAGCAGAAAAAAAGGGTGACATTGAAAGTGTAGCAACGATGGCAGCACAAGCAGATCAGGTTAAAGACAGCGGCAAAGCACCAATTGATCGTTCTAGAAACAAGGAAAGAACAGAAAGGAAAAAGTACAGAGAGAAGGAAAAGAAGTGTGAGATAAAGAGAACTGGACTGAAAGAGAGTGATAAAAGGACAAGGACAGCAAGAGATTCAATCTTACAACCAAGGTCCCTCACCACCGACAGTGTCCTGCCTGTGATGTGTACTGCAGGGATTGGTGGGAAAAGGCCAGAAAGAGAAGAACACAAAGCCATCAGCAATATGAAAAGCAGCAAAGACCCAAAACAAATATGGGAACAGCCACTTGATGATGCTGCTACTTGCTCCACAAAAGGGTAGTGGTGATTGGGGGCTATAATGGAGGGTTGGGGGCATAAAGCCGCAATGATGCAGGCTGCCTGGAGTATATGTAGCTGACTCTAATGGCCAAAACGACATCAACAAAATAATGCAAATAAAATAAACAGAGGACATACAATAAAGCTGTACACCCAGCAGGCATTCCAGTCAGTTGATTGAAATCAACCAAGATGTAGGGGAGGGATTTGACTAGGGTTAGTGCGAGGCAGCGAACCTCTTTGCTAATCTGGTGTTCAGCATAGTGACATATACTGACCTGGGCTTGAGACAGCACTAGTGGTGGAGGGCTCAATTATTGCTACAGGGGAGGAGAGGGGGGGGAAGAGGGAGGGGAAGGGAAAGAGGACATTCATGTATTATTAACAGAATGGAGACGTAAAACAAAAAAGAAAAACGCATGCAAGGACAAAAAGGACAGGGAATGGAGACAAATCCTCCCCATGCAATAAGTACTAAAGTCTCTGTGGCAAGATGCAACTTTTACATGCTCACAAACATGTTTTACCACCCTAAACGCTTTGAGATTTGCATGAATTAAAAAGTAAAGAGGATAAATAAAACAGATGAACCCCAAAGCTGTAGATGATTCAAAACTAAGGTTTTTCGGTTACATGAGATGCTTGGTCTGGTTTGCTAAATGACTCACTCTTCACTTTGATGATAAACATATCAACCACTGGGACCACCCTATAATTTCAACAGCACTTCTATGGTAGTTCGTAAATCAGATCTTCCTTTGACACAGATTCAGCCATTGATTTTGATTTTTGTCGTCCTTTTTAAGATGTATGAAGTGACTAGAGAATGAGCAGAAAATGGGGAACTAGAGTCTATGTTTGATCCAGCAGCGGCAGGAAGTCAGGAAGCTCAATCTGATTAACATATAAACTCATTCGAGGCTGAGCCACTGGTGGCATTTGACTGATGGAATAGTGAAAGACTATGAAATGCTCAATCCAGTTTGTCAAAACCCAACATGTGGGCTCTTTCCTCACTTAGTTTATAAGAAAAAGTGTGAGAGAAATAGATGTTATACTTCTTACATTAATGGTGACTTTACACTCAATTAATGTATCAAGGATTGTTTAGTTACACAGAAACATGAAATCCCTTAGTATTATATTCAATAAACCTGTAGAATTGCTTAATACACAAACAAATCAGCCGATCACATGTGAGCAGAAGGTAGTGCGTATTGACATCAAGATGTGAAGGGAACTACTTGATAAAAGATTAAACCGAGTATAAGAGCAATAAGGCAGGGGAATATAAGTGACTTTTAATATAGCATTGTTTTCGGTGAAAGATGTGAAAAAGAGAAACTATCAGGTGAGCTGTAGTTATGTGGATGAAAATGGTGATTTCAAAAGAAAATTGTCACATTGATTGGAGATTGTGAAAAGGCAGAAGGTTTTTATGTAACTAATCAGTGAGACAGAAGTAAACAGACTACCATCGCTGAAGGGACAAAACATCAAACCTAAAAGCTGATAGATTAAAGAAAAGTGCATTGCGTGACAGTGCTGTTAGCTAAGAGCACAAACCTAAGGGTAGATTTGCAATGCTTTATCAAAGTCAGATAATAACATATGTTGCCTTGTGCAATGACTATTATTGCTGTAACTTTTAACAGCAAAAAAGAGTGATTACATGGTGCTATGTATCAATAACTGAGGTTGGTGTTGATGATATGATAGTATGGGATATATTGTCTTGAAAGTCTTTAGAAACCTTCGTACTTACTAAGAGTAGTAATTTGAGAGCCTCTCTGAGATGCATCTAATCACGTCCATATCCTTACAAACATAATGTACCAATCTTCTGAAGGCAACATCCAGCAGTAATACTGTCATCAGAGGGATTCAACATGACCATCATGGACACCATAGACTAACCAGATCTTAATCAAATAAGGCAGCTTTGAAATGTGTTGGACGGCAATATTTGAATCAATATGAGGCAGACAAATAGCAACAACTTTCTGTTGCTATCATGTACATATTGACAAAATCTCTCATAAATGTTTCGTGAGCTTGTTGAGTCTTTGTCATAAATGGATCTAGTGTTCCTAGACTTAAAAAAAAGGTCCAACTATATACTGCAAAAAGTGTCCATCTTACCAAGTTTTACAACCTGGGAGTGGTGGCCTAGTGGTTAGGGCATTAAGCTGGGAATCCTGAGTTCGGACCCCATTCCCATGGACTGACACTCTGGGTCTTTGAGCAAAGACCCTTAACCTCACACTGCTCCCCGGGTGCCCCACAATGCCCAGCCACTGCTTCCCAAGGGGTTGGCTTAAATGCAGAGGCAAGGGAGTGGGGGCCTATTGGTTAGGGCATAGAGCTTGGAATCCTGAGGTTCTGAGTTCGAACCCCACTCCCACAGACTGCCACTCTGGGTCTCTGAGCAAAGAAAGTTAACCTCACACTGCTCTCCAGGTATGGCAGCTATACTGTATGCTCCCCAAGGGTAAGTGTTAAATACAGAGGGTATGTGTTAAATACAGAGAGTTCATTTCATTGCTCTGTGAGAGTGTGATGACATATAAAACATTCAATAAAAGCTGGAAAAAGAACAACAAAAAACCTCAGTTGTAGTCAAAAAGTATTTTTGATCTTGTTTATATACTAAGCAAGAGCAGATTATTTTATATCTGTTGTTGTGAGAATATATGTCACAACACTTCAAAGTCTTAGCAATTGTGATTGTCTTGCTGTACATTTGGATCATTGCACTTGTTTTAAGTAGAATCTTCTTAAAAGAAGAATAATTAACAGAATCTGCTCTTGAATGTTATATCAATCTCAAAACAAGATAAAAAACACTTCTTGGCTAAATCGAAGACTGTAAGTCTTGGATGGATGGACACTTTTTGCAGTGCATAAGTAAGGTAAGTAAAAAAAATTTAATTTAAGCTCTTTGACAATTAGTGCATATCTCGCACTTGTTATTAGTAAGCAAACATTTTAAAGTAAACAGAGTTGTTTATTAGGAGTTACATGAGTCTGAAGCCTTTTACAAAGCAAAGCCGTGCTTCACAACAAGGGCCTAACACAAACTGATGCAAATGTTGTGGCCCTCAGTGTCCTCATATTTCTGTTATAGTGTCTAATATGTTTAATAATTGCAGCAACATTTTCTATAATTCTTGAAAATGTACTGCATTACACAAGCCATTCCTATTCAAAAGGCTTCTTGGCAGATGAGCCTGTCTATCACAATAGAAACCATGGCAGCCATGAATGTAATGCACACATTTCTTCTTAAACGAATATTACTTCAAATTGCTGCAGCGAGCTACTATATCTAGGCCAGGCACACTTTAACTTCCATTCTAATCCATCGACATGGGAAGCTAATATGGTCATTTTTTTTTGCAAACTGAAAGAGGTGATCAGTGGAATCCTCCCAATCTGACCATCTCTTTCTCACTTCCCACAGGTGTACTTACAACCAGGCAATGACTGTGTTGGTGTTTTAACAGAACACAGGTATGCCAACAACAATAAACTGTATGTTGTCATTTGATTTCATCATTCTGTCTGAAGGGAAAATTGTGAAGGAATAACAGACAATTATATGCCTTTCACCCTTGGAACCTTGTGGAAGCAATGGCCGTATTAATCTTTTCTTACAAAAATGTTTCCACTTTAAGGACTCCTGGGGGAACAGATATGCCATGGCAGTTTCTTCTCAGCTCTTTTCTTCAAAAAAGCCAAGCGGGTGCTATCTGATTAATACTTGAGCTTGAATTCGCCAGTGAATCATTTCATGAGCTCTCAGACACTCCTCCATTACCATGGAGCATATCTTTTGACATACAATCTCTTCCTCGTATAGCTCCCCTCTGACTTCTACTGTTTCACTCATTCAAGAGCGCTACACATCATTTTGCATATTGTATTTGCCAATATGTCATGTGCAGAGACTGATGGCTTGCAAGACAAAATAGATTTTTCAAATCCATTTTCTTTCAAGCATTGCATTATGTTTTTGTTTCTGCAAATGGAACAATGCTAGGAGTAAAGTCCACCTAAAATGTATTTGGGGTCGCTTTTTAGTGGAAACACATTTATTTTCATTTAGTGGAGGAGTAATAATGAATAGCAATATAAACTAGAAAATTTCTAAAGAAATTTTGAGGGGGGCCACCTACTGCCCGTCTGGGTAACTGGGCCAATACGGCCCTGGCAAGTGACATTGGGGCTCCCCAGACCAACTGCTTACGCCTTTGAGGGCTGCTGAGGGAAGGAAAGAGGGCTAGGTCATGGGCAAAGAGAGCTGTGTGCCACTTGTGCTGAAATCTGGGAAATAGACGTGCACAGCATATGATGCACAAGGGTAATATGGGTTGTCCATATTGAACCGCAGTGGGTAAAGCGCAGTTGGCGGGCTCCGCCCGCCTGCTAGGAGCCCTTGCAGCGATGAAAAAAATCACCAATGGCGGGCTCCGCCCGCCTGTAAGAGCCATTGCAGTGATGAAATCACCATTGGCGGGCCTCGCCCGCCTTCTAAGAGCCATTGCAGTGATGAAATCACCAATGGCGGGCTCCGCCCGCATGCTCAGAGCCATTGCAGTGATGAAATTACTAATGGCTATGAGCAATATGCCACAATGTATGAGTGTGTATAAGGAAGAGGCTTTTATTCTGTAGAGTCCCTGTAGTGTTATTTTGAAAGTCTATCATGGATGTGCATCAAAAGATGGGTCATGCCCAGCAGTGATATAGAATCCATTTCCACATGTTAAATCACTGGTTTTCCATGTTATTAGGTGAATAGCTGCTGTATTACAGAGTAAATGGGAGACTTTTATTGTGAAATTTGCTCTGGGGTGTGTTTTGAAAAGGTCACTAGAGTCTAATAAAAACAACCTGGAAGAGTTTGGGTCATAATGTTGAGCCATTGCATAAATTATTGCATTAGTATAATCTAGAGGCTTTTATTTTGTAGGGTCCCTGGAGTCTTATTTTGAAAGTCCAACAGAGTTGTGTTTAGAGAAAATGTTCAGACCCAGCAATGA